CCCCCCCCCCCCAACCAACAGGCCTTCCATAGGAAAATTTGAAATCTGTAAGGAATTTGTAACTTCCAGATTCTATTCGAACGCACTCTTCTCAGTGATGGTGAAGGGTTGTATATAGCAGCAAATGTCCGATAAGTAAATTGTACAGAAAACTGGGAGGATCTTGTTCCCTTCCAAAGCACCTTGTTTGCTAGTAATGTTGAGATTGGGACAATCTGAAGTATGAGAGGTACATCCTTTATTAAAGTAGAATCACATCTCCCACCTCCCTGTAACAAGTCTTGTACTTTCAGAGTTTTTATTTGAGCAATATGTGTTGTTTCAGCCCAAGAACCTGGGTCCACCAAACAGATTATTGTTTTTTTAGCAGAAAAGGAAGAGCTTTGGGGTAAATATTTGGATTTTATCACTCTTTCCCACATAGCTTCAGATTGTGAGAAAGTCTCTAAATTTTCTTGCAGAAAACTGCTTTTTTCATTTCTAGTACTCTTCTAGCTCGATAGCTTGGGCAGTCAACAGGGCCCTTAGTTGTGTGACATGTCGGTTCACCAAACAATGCATCCAGGCTCCAGCCATCCAGACATGCATCCAGTAAAATCCTATCGAAGCCCAGGCTGTGGAACATAAACAACCATTTTTTTTTCTGTGCTGCTGGATCCTGGATGCATGGCTGCAGGTGAGCTAACTTGCGTTGCACAGAGAGAGCCCTGTTGGCAGCCCAAGCTGCCAAACGTGGAGAACCAAAGTTTTCACCATTAATTATATTCTTTATCAATTTATTCATTCCTAGAAGACACAAAAAAAGTAGGCCATGCATCAAGAAAAGTCTCGCAGACACTAGTGTATCCTCAAGTCAATATTATATTCTATCATATTTGAATGTTTGATTTGGCCACAATTTTTCTCTCAAGCAGAAATCCCCACAAAGTTCTCTGTTTTTTTGCAGTATACATGTGTTTTTTACTGCGGTCGGATGATTGGGCACATCCCATTTTTGATAAACCAGCAGCTAGAAAATCTCAAAATCCCATATTAAGGAGGAAAAACAGATGGGTTTCTTGTAGTTGTGTTCTTCAAAACTGTTTAAGGAGTGTTTAATTTCGTCGAACAGATTGCCTTTTCTAGGAAGTGAAAACTCCTTGCCCCGGTGAGAGTATTGCTTTTGGGTCAAATTTGGTCTTCCTTTGTTTGAAGGTGTCCCATTTCGGTCCGAAATGATTGACCCACTCTGCCTTGGTTTGGTAACGAGGGAGATATTGCTTAATCTTGATTCCAGCCTTCTCACAGAATCTTAATATTTCTGTATTTTGCTCTTCCAAATGCTCCCAGTCATGCGTCCCACTTGATTGCAGTAGTAGTCCTATCGAATAGAAGATATCTTCCTCAGGAATCACTGCAGACATCCTATCATCCCACCTGCAATTCAATATAAACATGCAATCGTGCACCCTCTCTGTAGAATGTATATACATATATATATATATATATATGAATATATCAATTATCAGTGCAGCAATGCAGTATACTTACTTGTTTCGATTCATGGGATAGACGAGGATAGGCCCAGAGATCTTATTATTTTGTCTAAGAATGCCTTTGAAGGCACCTGAATCGAAGTCGAGGATTCGAGATTTGGGCACAAACAGATTAAGCCATGGATGAGGAACATCCCACAGTCCTTGCGATTGAAGCTCCAGTTCTCCGCTTCGAACTCTATTCAAGAAATCTATGTAGGAAACATCTTTAGCAAAGATCAAATCAGGAATAAAGCTCAACCCTTTGAGCAAGGCTTCTAATTCCTGCATGCATGCAGACGAGATTATCGATCGAATAGCTACAACATAATTAAATAATTAGAAGATCGATTCCATTTTTCACCATGGTAGAAGCAGAGAACGAGAAGGCGTGCGTAACGTAGTACGTACCCCGTCAACCTCATCGTCGTAGTACTTGGCTACTTCCAAGCTATAAAGGATGCCGTGCTCGTTTGCCAGAGAAATAATCCTTGAATGGTCGTCAGGTGAGAAAAACGAAGACCTCCAATTGTTAGCAGGACTCTGGTTCATAACTAGAGAACCTTCCACATAATCCAGTCCCTTGATACCTTCACTTCCATTATTGAATGAGATGAGATGTTCTTGATCTCTTGTAAAAGCAATGAAGTCATGATAGAGAAGACGTACCCACCTCACCTACCACCAAGAATTTGCTACCAAATTAATTAAACAAATTAAGCAATGAACAACTTTGGTGGATATATAAGTTGATGAATAGTGTAACTGTGTACGTTGCAAGTACCTTAGTTGGGGCCGGCTCCAAGGCTATCCTTGCTCTAGTGATGATTCCAAACTGGCCAAGACCTCCCAGTACTGCATAAAACAGCTCTGAGTTTGTCTGTGGGGAGCAGGTCACCAGCTCTCCTCTTCCTGGATTAAAACAAGGGACAACCACACTTGAGCTCCATGGTTCGGGGGAGACAAAGAGGTTAAGTCGGTCAAACCCAACTCAAACCGGGATAATTGGCAGGTTGGACCATGGATTGGTAATATACCACAAATAGACGAGAAGACAACAGACAATATGTATGTAACTTACCAGTAACGACGTCCATCTCATACACGTTGCTGATCTGAGGACCATGGCGAAAGGATTGGCCACTTATCCCAGCATTAGAGAGAGTGCCTCCCACGGTGAGGTACAAATAATCAGTCCACGACCTTGGCGCAAGACCATGCTCCAGGGTGGCATGCAATACATCAACCCATAGCTGCTCACAGCCAACATCGGCGTACCAGTTATTAACCGACGGCGAGCTCCGATCAACAATAATTCGACTGCCGTTGTTATGATCATTATCTAGAGATCTCATGTCCACAACAACGCCTTTATGTGCCGTTGCTTGTCCACGGACAGAGTGACCCCTACCCCTGGCAGCTATACCAAAAGGAACAGAAGAACGGAAGGAGAATCTTATCAGTGCCACAATGTCGTCCAGAGACAATGGGTAGAGAACGGCAGCTGGAATTACTCGGACAAGTTTACCAAAGTCAGTAGAGGCCAAACTAGTGATCTCAGGGTCAATGTGAAGCCGGGTGGCAAGGTCGAGTGACAGAAGCTCTGGTGGCAATAAACTAGTCCATGGCCTTAGCTTCCCTATGATGGACATCAAACAGCTTATGAAAAGTAAAAGAACGATAGACAATGGAAGTGGAGTCGTCTTCCCCATGAGAGATCGATCACAGAGAAGATCAGTAAGTGGTCTGTGAGTGTTTGCTTTGCCTTTGCATACGAGGGACAGAGACTCAGAGAGGGGAGGGGGAGGCAGGCTTAATATAAGGGTGGTTGAGGTAGGACCGTAGGAGATGGGTGGTGGCTGGTGGGAGGGAATGGAGGCGTACTCTTATTAATCACGAGGGAAGTTGCATGAAAACGAGGATGAGATCTTGGGTTGCAGAGAGGAAATCTGGGCATCTGGTTCACAGACGACGTCGCGGCATAACAAGTTTTGTTTTTTCGAAGATACGAAAGGACGAGACTCGGGATCATATCCATCCAACGTCTAGACTCATGACACATGGCTTCAATGACATCCGAGGCACTAGGCTATCGTGGCAAAGATTCGGAACAACCCACAGATTTCTCCACTGCGTCAACCTTCCCATTTTTACTTGTTTAATTCGTACCAGCAAGTTTGAACCAACACCGTCCATATTGCCAAAAGGACGGTGAAGATGGACCAGATTACTCTGCCACCAGTGAAAGTGGTTTGCTTGGGGAACTAGAAATAAATGTAACTTTTGAGAATTGAGATTGAAGATTGAAGGTGGGTATGACTGTCATGAGTCAAAGTTTGGTATTCAAGTTCAAGGGTGAGGGGTCTTACAAGATTTTTCAGAGATTTTCTTTCTCATGGTCTATTCGCTGTAAGCATCGATCAAGACTACTTGGTCGTTCCTTTGTGAGATTCATACATTGGATTGTTTGGACAGAGGAGACAATTGATGTCTGGTTTTTCTTGGTGCTAAGATTTTATTTGTAAGTGTTTTGCCCTACATGTCAATCTCAAACGTCAGATTCATGAAAAAGTCAGGACCCATGTTGTCTCTGTAAAAATTAATCTGTTTGAATGTAAACCCATTCCATGGTTTTCCACAAAAAAAAATGAATGGTCCTTGAAGATTGTACAAGTTCTGGAAATGAATTGACTTCTCCAAATTACTGCTACTGAGGATTCTCATAGTTCCCAGCAAAAGGTTTTTCTTTTTCTGTAATATAACAAAAATATGGATAGGCTGTTACCTAGGAATTATTTCAAGTAAAAAGGTTGCTTATTAATTTAACAGGAGAATGAAACTTAATGGTGGTAATTACTACCATGAATCAACCAGGACAGTTCATCTGCCTCTGTTTTCTTCCATTTTATCAACCTAATTAAGTGCAGAGATGTGGTTAGGATTACTTAAATTAATACACCGATCTCTTATAAGCCAAGATTCGAGCCTGGCTGGATTTCTGATCACCACCTTCTTATTAAACTTCATCTCGCCATATCCAGGGCCTTGGGAGAGCTGGCCTGGTTACTGAGTAGAAAGATGGATATGAAGTAGTTCCAGCTAGCTAGGCCAACTCAAGTTCAAACTATAAAATAAGGTTTTTCCAGTAGTAGAGAAAATGGGGTCTCACCAATTCACTTTGCGTAGCAAATTTTGATGAACCAACCAAAAGCTCATATCTAGATTATGTACGTAAGGCTACTGTAAGATACGTGAGATCTTAATGGGTATTCGAGTCACTAGCCCAACTAGATTATGTACAGTACGATATCTAAGCTCCACCAGCCAATCTCAATTAATTCTCAACCACTTGATGGCCCTCATCACACAATCGCATCCGTCCAAACATGCATGTGAAAGTAAAGCTAACGAAGAAGAAGAACCAACCATCCACCATGCATGTGCGATTCTAATTATACTCGTATGGTTCCTGTTTGGTTATTGAATCCTAAGCTCATCAAAGCTCGTACTCTGATCCTGTCGGCCCAACAGAGTTCTCCTTTACAGACACGGGTACAACAGATGGGATGGGATGGAGTATTCTTCGTCATTCTTAGAATCGTGATCTCACAAAGATTAATCAATCTCTCCGTTGAACGGTAGGCACCGCCTCACTGTCTCAGGCAGGTCCCACCCCACAAGATAAGCTCAGTCGGTGCAGAGGTCCAGTCTGAAGATAGTGCTGGACATTGCACCCTTAGAATCTAAATCTCCACCACAACCATGCATGAAGCCATGACATGAACCCACCTCGGTTTTTCCCTGGTTCCTTACGTAGCACAACTTGTTGTTAGATTTTCAGCCTTTTTGATAACTGATGGTACACTTCTTAGATGCTCTGGAGCTTGTGCCCATACAGATTCCAGAGCTGTTCTGTTCAAGTCTGCTCCCCAAGTCTACTCTTGTCTTGCTGCCAAATGTCAATCACCTCCTCTTTTTCTTCATCTGCTTAGATACTCTCTCTCTCTCTCGTGTCCATCTTATTCTTAACCACTAGGAGGAAAGCATCAAATCAATAGAGCTCCGTTCACACACACACCCATATGTATATATAATGAACTAATGCACTGGTACCATCATCGATCGTCGACAGTCTAATTGTCAAGACTCAAGACCTAGCAGATGGAGTTGGGGGGGGGGGGGGGGGTGCGCGACCAATTGAAACATATGGTTATTAAACTTGGCTGCGATGGACCCATATGCCAGATAAGATGTCTTCATGTGCTGGGTTTTGCCAGCCAGCCGACCTAGTTTTGTTCCATCACGGACTAAAATGATTTAATCAAGCCTAAGACCAGTGATAATGCTGTTGCTGGGCCTTCAAATAATTGTAGATCTGGTCCCTGCTCATTTGTCTTCCAAATCATGGGAGGTCCCGGCTCTTGGATTTGGTCTTCTTGGGCCAGCCATAGAATAGGGGATCCACTTGGATGGAAATTTTGGAGCCACATGAGAACTTCTAAATAGGGCCCCTTTTGCCGTCTCCAGCAAGGTTCTTGATTACTTCCCTCCCCTCTCTAAAGTCTAAATGATTGGGCATTGCAAGAGTTTTTGAACTTATTTGCATGCCAGGTTGATAACCAGCAAATGTTCAATCCATCCCATTCACTGTGGGTCCCTAGCCTAGTTGTTCAATTAATCCAGGCAGCCAATCAATCCTTACAGTGATCTTATTGCTACAATGAAGATCATAAATGCATTTAGCAACTTCCTCCCCCCAATCAGCCAAGCTTCTTCGTAGGAATGGAAATGGGGCGGGTTCAGGGCGTGGGCGTGGCACCCCCTCCCCGTCCCTGCCCTGTAGCTAAGATACTGTGTATCCCGTTTTCGGTGGTAGATCGAATTTGGAGTTCTGTCGAGGATGGGGAATTCCTAAATCCCTGAATTTTTTCCATCCTGAGACAATCATCTAAAAATACATCTAATTTGGGAGTATTTTAAGAACTAGATTATTGCAAATTGAGGGCATTTTGGAAATAGAATTATAAAATTTTATATCCTAGGATTTTAGTAATTTGAGGAAAACTTAGAGATATTCTAAAAATCGGCATTAAACCTAAGAATATTTTACTAATTTACCATTGGGTTCAGGAAATTATATGCAAACCCTGTCCCCATCACTTCTCCATTTAAGATCAAGGAAAACTTGCCCCATTCAAGACAGGGTGAGACAGGGCGCTGGTTTTATGGGAAAAAATTGTCATCCTTACTTCTACTACTTAGGCAAGGTTCAAAGTATCACTATGTATTGTACCATACCATATATGATACATATATATCATATGATGTATGATACATCGATTTTTGGGTCATTGGTGCTGATACTCCATATATAGTTAGTTGACTTTATTTGTTCTAAATGTTATGACTTATGACTTGATGTAATATATCTACTAACTAAATATCAGAACAAAAAAGAAAGAAAATAAGACTTCAGTTGAATGAAACTCTCTTATCAAGAGTATCAATACTTTGAACCATGCTATTAGATTGCATTTGGCAGTTCTGAGTTGATCTTTGAATTCTGAGAATTTTGCTTTTCAAAGGTCAAATGGTCCTTCATTTAAGTTAAGCATCTGGATATACCATTGAACTCTAGTTCTCTTAAATTTTCCAAAGGCCAGTTCCCTCTGAATAAGTTCAGCACCAAATTAAACGGTCATTTGAGTCTTTTGGCAATTTTGTCATTGGCCATAGAAGTATATATATATATCCTACTTGCATAGTATAATGTATGAAATGTGTAATATTTTAGAAAATGATAATATAATATTCCATATGAATATGTGATATATATACATACATTATTTAATATATATACTTATATGATATGACATACAATGCTTCACTACACCCAGAGCTAAGAAAAGCAGGAAAGTTGTTTTTGACAATTCAAAATTCAAAAGAAGAAAACACTATTGCTTTTTAGAGGTCAAAGTGCATATTTATTGAATGCCATCTTGGTACTACTTATGGAAGCAATCAATCTCTCTGTGTTGAAAATTGAAGTGTATACACATGCGAAAAAGAACTTAGCTTGGTTGTCATTTGGCGAAGTCAATAGTCAATTTCTCAGGGGATATCTTGATTTAGGCCCACGGCTAACAGGTCAATTGTTCAACTTATCTAGTCTTTCTCTTTCTGTGAATCATCCTCCATCTTCTCAATTAGCTTCAAAGGCATTTACCTTTTTCATATCTATCCATTAATTGAATTAGATACAGATATGTGTGTGTGAGAAAGAGAGAGAGGTAGGTTGTAGTATAATGAAAGTCATCATTTATTTAATTTTTAAAACTTTACAACATTTCACTTCAACAGAAGCCAATCTAAAACCTGACTATTTATTAATAGACATACCTTTGAGTGATGAACTGGGGAGAACAACCCACTTAATAATTAGTTGAGTGTTGAATCATATGCGGTCGAATCATCTTAATCCCTCTTCCCACAAATAGACGAGGTGGATTTGAAATCCTTATGGAGTAGACAATTAGGAATCCTCTCCTGGTTGGAACCCGAAACCCTTAGCCCTAAGGTAATTATTTTCAGATCCCCAAACCTAGAAGCTTCAAATTTGTGATTTTCTGCTACTTCAAGTTATTTACTATGATTTAAGGAAATTCATTTAGGGGCCATTACTTGGTGTAATGCTGGGACCAACTACCTTGAAACAAAACACATTATTTGTCAAGTTAGGAGTTGCTCAGTAGTCAACATTGGGTTTGGGTAATGACCTTTGTTATGTTTGGTTTCCCATTCATAAAATGAATTGGATGAATGGAAAAGTAAAAGAAACTAAATACCCATTTGTTTTGAAGTATTCAACCCAAAGCTTTTGTCTTTATTGATCAATAATATGTATGTGCAAGGGACCTATCTGTTTCCACTTTCCAGTCTACCCGATGCATTAGTTTCTATTTTCTCTATTCTACATGGCAACGAATGAGGTTAGACCCATTTAAGAGAAAAACTAACAGCGGCACAATAAGATCATGGAAGCAAACCATAATGGATTGTAGAGCCTTGCAAATACGAGCAATGGAATCCCGTTTAGTTGAGTGGTTCTAGACTGATTCATGTCTTCAGAAAGTGTCAGCCATGCAATGATGGGAGAAAATTTACCCGAGTATCTAGACATCAATAAGGACATTTTAAAATAAGTGGGCAAGCAGCAGGCCTGCAGATAACAGGGAATCAGCGTTTTATCATGGATATCTTCAGATACCATCATGGGCCATGGCAAAGAATTTGAGACTCTAGGAGTAGGAGGTTTTCAACCAGAACCGGTATCTTGGTTGTTAATGGCATATCTTGTTTTTTGTCACCCAGCAACATGACATCAATTCTCGAATGATGAATTTAGAAAATATCAGTAATGCATTATGAAATTGGAGCGAACTTTGGAAAAGACAGAAATCAGAGGATGGCCATACCTATTACCTCCCAAGTAGGGGAAGGGGAAATACAGCTGCAGAAGAGTCCTGTCTTTTGCCCAGACAATCATTCAAATTTCTTACCTTGGCGGGATTTAGAAATCAGAATTGTTCCAGTACAAGTAGTGGTCTAAAGGACATAATCAATGCCAGAAAGAAGCTAAACTGATTGAATGACTCCAGCTACTTTGTAGAATTCTTTTGGACTCTTAACTACTGAATTTGCTGTACTCACCAGTTGATATGCGTCGAACTTGAGTTCCCAGGAGTACAGGGCACAGGGCAGCACCAATATTACTTCTGGGTTCTGGGCCTTCTGGCCCCCGCACCATAAAAGTGAATAAAGAAAAGAAATGAAGCCGTTTGAATGTACATTGGCACCTGCTATACTAAAGCAAACGAAGTTAATGGTTAGTAAGCAATGCCATCACGGTCCTTTACGGTGCCCATAAATCAGAAGAGGGCAAACCACAATGATGTATTTTTGTGTTAAAGTTAAAGAGTGTATTATCTTCTTGCCTAGATTAATTCTTACCATACCATTGCAAAACTCAACCGCACTGCAAATTTGCCTCGATTCTACGTTTAACCCTTACCAAACGCAGCTTCAAGGGTTCCATGATCATGAAGGCAAAAGCCTGACCCTAGCATTAGCCAAGAAATTTCTGATTTCACTCGTAGATACCGTCTGTCTGTAGCTTATCCTGTGACTGGTAGATACCGAACAATGAGACTGGTCATGGCCACTGAAGTCTAATCTAATGATCCATGGACCACCTTCAACCATCGATTTAGAGACGGTGCCCAACTAAAAATGAAACCTAGGATTTCTTTGAATCAGAACAGGGGACGGTCATGGATGCAATAGGTCTATACCTACTCTTTATATTATATATTTACAGTTTTCAGGTATCATCCACAAACTACATTTAGGGAGAAATCAAGCTCTTGGTTTGACTGCGGTCACTGGGGAGCACAAACAAATGATATTTCACAGAAGAATTTACATAGATATCACATCCATGGAGGTTGAGTTCTGACCGCATTTTTCTTGAACTGATAAAACGAGTTCTATTCCATAGAAAAGAAAATGTTTTAACTCATCTCTTGGAACTCAAGTGACCTTTTTCAGTTAAAAGCACAGTACATTGGATGAGAAACGCAAGAATGAGTGAAGGTAGAGTGCCCCACTCTCCTGGCATGGTACAAGCTTAGATTCATTCAAAACTAAAGATGGCACCAACTTTGCCATCAATTCAAGCAGCAGCTACCTTCCTACCATCTTCAATGAAGTAAATTGCAGTTTCCGGCACCTGCAAATAACTCAAAATAGAGGTACCTTGTTAGCTTGTGTAAACACTGCAACATCCAGATAGGTCTAAGGATCATTTCAACAGAAAAGGCAAAGCCTCTTTGGGCAGACAGCAAATGTGACTAGACAATTAAAAGCCTTTTAATTGTAATTCATATTTATTAGCAAAATAACCTGGTAACTTAGAACATGATTTTAAATTTCAGCAAGATTCTGGTTTTGGATATGCAAAACCAAATGAAATATCAATACAATTCATTTGAATTTACGTTAACTGAAAAATCCAATTTTCATATCAAAATTAATAAAAAAAAAGTAAATAATACACACACATGCATATATATATAATTTTAGAGGTTGGACGACCATCTATTTTAAATAGATTAAATTGGGCTAAAGGTCCTCCAGGTGGGAATTTAGTTGAGCAGTGCGTGAGATGTTGCATCTTGAGTGAACATATCATTCATTTGCATCAAGTGGTCAACCACTGAGTTCAGTCATAACTTAGCAAGATGTAAAGGTGAGAAGACAGTTATTTTGGATTAGTCTTTTGTGAAGACTTCAGTTAGTACTACTCACTAGGCCAGGTATTGTAATTTTAAAACTGAGTCACAAATTCACTTTGTGATTAATAAAAGGGGTTTTGCTACCGATCAAGAAAAAAAATTGATAACTAAAGTAGCATTCCAAAAGTACTTGACACAAATTAGAACGATATGGTGCTTAGGAAAATTACATCAGGCCAGGTCTCTGTAATGAACTCCATGATATCATAGGCTATGTCTCCTTGGACATCGATCTGCTCCTTCTCAGTTGGTCCCTGAAAAGGATTTATCCAGATTATATACATTAGAAATGGAATAAGATAAATGGATAAACATATCATGTTATGTGGTAAAATTCTTCTGCACCTTAACAACAGATGCCCCTGTTGCAAATTTTTTCCCAAGCTTCTTTGAAGCATCACTGAGTTTAATACCTAAAAACATCATCCATTAAAAGGTGAGTTCAAACGTGGTGCCAAAAGGCTTTTAAAACCATTGCAGTATCCTAGTGAACTTTGGGATCACAAAAGCACAAGAATCCATGCGGCTCATTGCTCACCAAAGAGGTCTAACCCTTTCACAACAGTGACACATTTCCTCTTGTTGCGTACAATCTTCTCAATAATAATTTCTTGTTTCTCCTACAAAAGGCACCCATCCACAATGTCATTTTCCTATAATTGATACCAAGATAAAGCATAAGAAGATGAACACCACAAGGATTTATTACATCTGCACAATAAGAAAATGTGCAACATTCAGGAAACAACAATTCTGACAACCACAAAATCCTATACTATTATAAAGGAGTTTGTCAAACTTGGATCACAATCCAAACCGTTTGTTCATACCCAAATACATGTGTTAAAAGATGTTACAACTTACAACCTCCAATATTTATTGTATTGTATTTTTTATTTGAGCAAGTGAAATAATCCAACCAAATGGTTTAACTGTTCAACCCATGATTCAGTGCATCTGGTCCAAGTTTGACAACATTGTCATAAAGAGATTACTGGGGATAGAATGTCATCGATTGCATGATTAGTTGGAACTCGAAAGCCAATTGAACATTATCAATTATATCTCGTAAAATTTGTCTCCCTCTCTCCTAAAATGTCTCTTCCTAATAACCTCCCCAAAAATCCTATCTCCCCCCCCCCAACTTTCCCTTGAAATCTTTTTCTCTGATAGCCCTCCCTTCCTCCCTGTCTACCCCATTCTTTTAGGCTGTTTTTGGTTTGAAGGAAAAGGTAGGGAAAGGAAAGGGAATGAGCATTGAATAATGCATGCATTTTACATGCCAGCCACTAGTAAAAATAACGACATTGTGACTGGACGACTCTAAGCACTTGTATTATGTACTGGTCCCCCGCTAGTGCTGTTCTTTCACCCTGACAATATAATGAAATGCAGCTAAAATCATAAAACCAATCTCTTAATATATTTTAGGAACTTCATATGAACTTGTTTGGGTTTCCCATTGGTATGGCCGATCTTGCACAAACAAGAATATAAGATGTTTAACATCGCATTAAACACATGAAGTAATGCAGTTGGGAGAGAAATAAACAGATTGAAAGTTTAACATGCTTGAATCGTTGAGTGCTCAAACATTTTTACATGTCATGTTTATGTATTTTAATTTGAACCAATAAGCTTTTTAAAATATTTAGTTTCTTTTAAAATTTAAGTTTGCATATTATGAATTAACATTACTTTTAAATTTATTTTGATTTTTTTTAATGTTTTAAAATTTTGTGCCTTGCTTTGCACCATGCGCCTCAGGTGCAAAAAGCCCCTTGTGCTTTCTTTATGCCTCACAATTTCAAAACACTGAGAAAGGCCTAAAATAATATAAACTTACGTAGCAAGGCCAAATTCAATACTTAAATAGTTGTCCATACATAAGAAAAATGGCATGATAGGTACAGTTGCCACTAATGTACGTAGCTAGAATCAAAGTACAATTTATAGTAATCAAGTGCACCAGAATGAACTTCCATTACTTCCACATTTGAGGGTGTCCATTATAATTTTTAAACACCTTTGGTCATCCACCCTAATGAGAGGGTTTCTATGGGAGCTAGGAGAGGAGAAGAAGGACCATAGGGTTAGGTGGGAGATAGTGTGTAGGAGTAAGAAGGAGGGACGTCTGGGAATTGGGAATATAAGGAGTAGAAATCTAGCACTACTAGGGAAATGGTTGTGGAGATTCTCACTGGAGAGAGAAAGACTTTGGGTTAAGATAGTGGGTGGTATTCATGGAATGAAAGATAATGGATGGGATTCTGGGATTCTTGCAAGGACTACAAGAGCATCTCCCTAGAAAGCTATTCAAGCTATTTTGCCCTTGTTCTCTCCCTAGATAAGGTATGATGTGCACTCAGGTAACCTCACTAAATTTTGGGAACATATTTGGGTTGGGGACTCCGCTTTGAAAGATCAATTTCCAAGCCTTTTTGCTATCTCTACCATGAAAAATGAACCAATTTCCTCCTTCCTTGTACTGTCTAATTCACCTTCTGGTTTTGGTTGGAACCTGGGTTTGAGAAAAGCTATCAGGGACACAGCTAGATTGTCTTTCAGCCTTATTATCCGTTCTGGATGGGGTTTTCCTTGCTCCAACAAAGGCAGATAATAGAATCTGGACTCTCACTCCTTCGGGGTCCTACACTTGTGCCACCTTCTTTAAGGCCCTATTACCCCCCTCTCCTATTGGTTTGTCCTTCCCAGTTAAAGAGGTGTGGTGTCAACCTATTCCTCCTAAGGTTGTGAGTTTTGTTGGGAAGCCTTCTTGGAAAGAGTTAATACAGGGGATTTACTTTAAAGAAAAAGACCCAATAGATGTTTATCTCCTAACTGGTGTGTCCTCTGTAAATCTGATGGTGAGTCTGGATACCACTTACTAATTTCTTGTCAATTTGTTAAAGGTATTTGGGAATGGTTTACTTCTTTGTTTGGGTGCAGGTGGACCCCTCATTTGAATGTGCAATGTTTATTCACATCCATGCCTCACTGGACAACAAAAAGGGCCAAGATCATGTGGAGATGTGTTAGGGCTGCAGTATGTTGGATTGTTTGGGAGGAGAGAAATTCACGGATTTTCTCAAATAAGGAGAGAAGCTTGGAAGCAATCTTGGAGAGTATCCATGTTAGGGTGATACATTGGTTGAAAACTTTAGAACTGTTTACAAACTTCTCAGTTGATCAAATGATAAGAAATTGGAAGGAGATTGCAGATTCAGCTCCGGTGAAGAAGACCTCATGTTCTTGTTGGACACCTCCACCTCAAGGGTTTACCAAACTGAATTTTGGTGGCAGCAGCATGGGTAATCCAGGGCCTTCCGGAATAGGGGGAGTGATAAGAGATGAAAAAGGGAACTTGTTAGCTATGTATTCCGGTCCAATTGGGGTGGGCAATTCTCTAARGGCTGAGATTCTAGGAGCTCTTGAAGG